CTTCATTCGCTGACATAAAACAAGTTTTATTCTTGAAATTCGACCCTGTGTTTTAGTGTTCCCACAGTTCTCACGAGTGCTCACGTTTATTGAAACCTCGCATAAATCAAGAAATAAGTACGTGTACAAAGTGTACGAAAGCATTCCTTTATTTGACCTTATCATACGATCACAAAAACAACTTTTTAAAATCTTTTTTGGGGTGGTCCTCGGGTAAGCGCCCACCCCCAATTTTTCCCGATTTTGTATGTTCAGACCCCTGGGCGCGTGCCCGGGGTAATACGATATATCAATATAAATACACCGCACATGTAACACGCGAGTCATTAGTAAATAGTTATAAACAAGAGATGAATGTCACAGTCCTCGTTATTAAATTATAAAATACTCATGTTAAAATAATACATAGAACATCTGCAAACAATTGAATTAATATGTACTCTATGTGGGTACAACTCATCATAAAATGATTTCCCTTAATCTGATAACTGAAAACTTCCATTGACCCATGCCCAAAATCTCAGAGTACACAAGTGCAACCAAACTATGTCTCATACATGTACACATGTTCAAGAAACTGCATTCATAAACCTGAGTAAAACTTGATGAACAACTTAACTTCTTTGTATATTACCAGGACCTGGGTTTGTTTCAGTATCACCACTATAATTCCATTCAAAATGTAGCCCTGACACCTCTCTATAGTTTCCACTAAGATTCGTAATGGTATGATCCATTTATCCATTTATTTTAGCCCTGACAACTGAAGCTATATTTAGACCACATGTGTCAATGTGCCTGGCCAAGATTTATAAGCAGTAACTGCAAAGTGTTTTCACTGATCTTCAACTTTGTGACTAGGTATTTCAGTGATGGCCCTTTTTAATGGAATAAAATTGTTACAGTTTAAAGATATAATATACAACAACATTTCTGACTTCTTTTTTCAAGATTTCAGCATTAATTTTTCATAACACCAAACAAAAACCAGACTGTGGTCCATTTCTGTCACTGATTCAAATCAAGGTCATGACATCACTGAAAACCCTAGCATTACAATCTAAGCTAATTATTCTGAGCATGCTCAGTTGTTTTCACAGTGTTGTAGGGAGAGATAATTTTGGATGAAAATCATGAAAAAGACCCATTTTCAGATCTGGAAAAAAAAAATTATGTGCATATTCAACAGAGACTTGTACATCAACCTGCCAAGTTTCATCATTTCTTCAAGTTTTATCTGCTGCAGAATTTCTGAGAAAATTTTAAAGATGTAACGGACAGAAACTGAAAATATGAAACAATACTGCCTTTTTCTGGCTGCGACTGAAACTAGGACTAATAAACCTTTGGCAAAAATCAGTTGCCGAAAGATCAGGTCGTAAATGGTGGCCGAAACGTTCATTCACCGCTTCTAATTTGAAAAGATTAAAACAACATGGTGATTGTTTGGTACTACAGTACTACAAACAATGTATGTTAAGTGAGTATCATTTTACAGTATTTATGCCACGAGATCTCACGCTTTCTCATACCAATGCAGGGGGTCATATCTCCCGCCATTGTCTTAAGCGGTGCATTCAGATAGACTTGCCGGTTTCTCTTTGAGGCAAATTATTATCAGTTTTATTCATAATTGTCAACCAAACACGTCTAGAAAGTTTAATTATGAATAATCTACGCACTATGGGTACTCGGATGCAGAGTAGAAAACGCACGGCTGAGGAGAATGGGACGGAAATCGCGACTACTTCTGTAGTGTTGGAAACTCAACTGCCTAACCGCCCGAAGAGAGGACGTCCCGCGGCTAGAACATCCCGAAAAAGGAGAAATCTGGACTATAGTAACCCCGCTAATTGGACTAATGCTAAGTTAAGATTGGAATTGAAAGACATGGGCTTTAATTTACTGACTAATTTAGCCCGGAATTCCTATATACGCATATATGAAATGAATAGACCAAATCATCGTAGTTCGACCATCCAAACATCAACAGCAGACATGGGGCCAGAGGCGGCCGAGATCGACAGTCTGGACGATAATGAGGGAGATAC